AGCCTGCTGGGAGGGCGCCCACTTTGGAGATCATTGTGGGCCTGCGAAGCTGACTCTTCCGAGAACGAAAACGGCCAGCGCGGGCCCTCACCTTACAAACACGGCCAGCCTGAACCTGAACCCGACGACGGCCCCCCTACGTGTTGTCAGTACCCAGATTCTTCACATGATGTGAGGACCGAAAATGCAACTTTCTTAAACCTGCAACAATCTTGTCGGCGATGTCAGACGTGGTGGCCGCCACGCGGCCCTTGGTCGTGGAGATGATAAGCCTACGGGCCTCGAGCATGCGGCACAGCGTGAGGGTGACCGCCAAACCTCCCTTGTTCACCAGTGCTGCCGTGCCGATCGTCTGAGCCGTAATGTTAAACAGACGGGTGTGAGGGAACCACGTTAAACACGTTAAACAGACGGGTGCGAGGGAACCACCTGGCACAAAAATCGAGGACATCAAACATCATCACCTGGAGAAGGGTGGTGGCGAAGCCGCAGCCTGCGATGACGGTGGACAAGATCATCACAGGGCGCGACACTCGCTTACCTAGCAGGAGACTCCGCGGTGCACGATACACTTTCAGACACAACCGAAGATGAAAAAGCGGAAACCCATGCCTCTTGGCCGCGCTAATCAGGTCCCTGTGCTGAACCTTCTCGTAGGCCTCAACCAAATCCAAGAAGGAGTTTGTCGCAAACCTCTCCGTCAGCGCGGCATTCTCGCTGGCGAAAGACTGCTCCCAAACGGCCCTTTCGCAAGACTTGCCCAGGGTCCCGTAGGTATATCTCCGAAAATGTTCAGCTTCCCAAAGACGGACCACCTCCCTGGAACATCGGGCCCAGACTCTCACCACCATGCTGAGCAGCCCTATGAGCCGCGTGTCCCCTTCGGGCTTCGGGGGGGAGGGCACGAGGGCGAGGCCGATCTGCGCGGGCAACGCTCCCAGGGCCAACATGCAGTTCCACAGCAAGTTGAAAGCCTCGAGGCACTTGTCCGAGGCCACGCAGAAGTCCCTGGGGCCCAGGCGATCGACCCCGTGCGACGTCCAACCCTTGATCTTCCGCGCAACCTTCCGAATGAACTCGGGCTCGCGCTGCAGCACAGGGCACCGTTGGGACTCCGAGAAAGACGACAGCTCGCGCATGCATTCCTCTGGGTCCTCGTCGGCCTCGGGGCATGACCAGACCTCCTCCCAATCCTTGAGAACGTGCCCCAGCTCCTCCTCGGGGCCTGGGGGGGGGCTCGCCACGCTTGGCCTGGATAGGCCTCCAGCCCGCAGGAAGGCGGGTGAACCTGTGGGCCTTGCCGCCACCGTCGGCAACAGCCCCCTTCACGCACAGGCGCCACTCGGCAGACCGACGACTAGCGAACTCCTTCTCGCAACGGGCGGCATCCTTCTTTGCGAGGTTGGCAAAGTCAAAGAGGCTGACGGATGACATGCAGCTCCAATCTGCGGCGGAGAGAGAAAAAGCAGCCCAGGCTGGAGTGTCTCTGATCGCCCCCGGCCCCGTGCTGATCTCAGCGAGAAGGGAGGCGAGCACGAAAGGCCTGCTGCGCACATCCTGGGACTGGATGTGGCCGAGCTCGCGGAGCCAATTGGCCACTCGCCTCCAGCCCAACGCCTCCTGGCTAGCAACAGGGCACGGGCCTGGCGTCGGAGCGAATCCAGGGAGACGCTTATACTTCCAGCCTAAGCCCCTTCCTCGAAACCTATCCTGCTGCTCCTCTGGGACCCCGTGGACCCCGATAAGCTCATCCTCCATGCGTCCGACAAACTTCCCAAAGGCCTGGTTCAAGCTGCGCTGGTCCCCCTGCTGCTCGAGAGCCTCCAAGACGTCAGACCAATCTGGCGGGACAGGAAAGGGGCCAATAGGGATCTCCTGCGGAAACTTACGAGGGCCAGCATGAACCAAAATCGAGGTAGGCACAGCACGGGCAGCAAGACGAAGTCCCACTGCCCTGTGCGGGGCCAGGAAGGAGTTGACCGCCACAGAGCACCCCTTGACGGACGGCGTGAGGACATCCGAGACGACGAAGTAGTCCAAGACCCGCCCCTTGCCTGACCGACAAGTGGCTTCGCGCGGCGCAACGATCCGAGCCCGAACCCGACTCGGCCAGCCCATGGCCGCCAGCTCCGAGGGGGTCGTATTCCAGTCGCCCCCAACAATAAAGGGCCTCCGAATAGTGTGGAACAGCTCGCCCAAGCGCACAAGCAGGTGGGCCCCTTGGGGCCCAAAGGGAGCCTCGGTAGGTAGGCGCACGGAGGCCAGCCAGAAGCCCCCTGGGACCAGGGCATTGACCCACTTTACGATGAGGCGATGAGGAGATGGAAGAGGTTGCTTGGGCATCGGGCCTTCGCCCATGCCGACGTGCTGAGGCACGCCCACTCCAAGACCTCCTGACAGGCCGCCAAGCTCGGTGACTCGGCTAGCCTGCACTGCAACCAAAAACTTCTGGCCCCTCAGCTGCTTCTCGCACTGCGTTCGATCATCAGGGTGAACTCCGAGCTCCTGCTGACACAACAACTGCACAGGCCGATCCGCAAGGGTCCGAGTCCGACGGCACTCTGCCCGCTGACGAACATACGCAAGTGCGGACTTCCAGGCCGTCGCGTTGGCGGTCCAGACCACTAGGTCCCCGCTCGGCTTGGACTTCTTCTTCGGGAGCCGCAGCGCACCAGCGGGAACAGTGCACACTCCTACCTCCACACACGTTGCGCCGTCCCCAACGGTCGGTACTTCACCAACCCCTGTGCCCGCAAGGCTGGCAGGGGGATCCATGCGCGCCTCATCGGTCGGTACTTCACCCCCTGCTGCGCCCGCAAAGCGAGGTGGATCCGCGCGTGCCGCTGGGGCGGTAGGCCGTGCAACTGGAAGGGGTACATCCAGGCAAAAAGCTGCCGCAGACGAGGACGGAGTAGCCGCCATCGCACCCGTCGAGCTTAGCCAAGTCCACGTTGATGCCGACACCGACCCAGGCGACCCAACCTGAGTACACGAAGACGTAGTGCTGGCTCTCCATGGGGTGCCTTCTGCCAGACCTGCCCCGGGACGCGCGCCGTGCCAGCACGGGGTCACCGAAGCAGGCGCGGTGAGTGAGCACCCAAGCGCCCATGAACACGTGGTCGCCGAAACCGAAAAACACGAAAAAGAAGCCGACCCGCTGGGAGTGGCCGCGCTCGAGCACTCCAGAGAAGCCAATGTTCTAGCGACCTGCACGGAGCCCCTCGGTGAGAACGGAAGTGCCGCAGGATCGAAACGGAAACAGCCTAGGCTAAAGGGTAGACCCTTTCTGCGCCTGCTTCCTGGCTTCCTCAAAGAGCGTCTCGTCATCGCAGTCACTGGGAACCGCCTGAGTCTCCCCCAACGTGAAGTCCACCTGCGCAGGAGAGCTGGGCAAGAAAGCGCCCGAACGGTCTTGGTCCTGCATGCCGCCTCCTGTCGGCGCAGGCGCGGGCGGCGCCTCAGCAGCGCCTGCACCTGCTGCTGGCGCTGGCATCTCGGCGGCGGCTGGGGGGGTGCCTGCCGCGGGCGTGCCTGGGACTGCACCAGGCGGTTCTTCACACCTCCTGCGCTTGGAGTCGGCCATGCGGCGGTTGAACTCCTTATGTTCCTCCACCAAGCTGGCAGCCTTCTCCTTGGCCTGGCCGAAAGCGGCCTTGGTGGCCTCCCTGAAAATACCGAGCAGCTCCGCCTTGCGCCGATCCAACTCAGCACGCTCAGAAGAGGAGAGCTCGAGCCCCTCGTCGTCGAGGCCGAAGACCCCTCGATCGTCCAACTCAACATCAGCCCCGTCCAGCAGCGCATTGAGGTCCAGCAGGGGTCTTCCCTTGCTGTCCGGCACGGCCCCTGGGGCTGCAGGGAGAACTTGCTGCAGCGCTCGAACTGTGTCGTGGTATTCGGACTCTCTGCGCTTGTACTCAGTGTGTGCCAGCACCGCCTTCCCGTTGGCCTCCGCCAGAGACTGCTCGATGCGCTCCGCCGCTTGGACTGCCTTGTCCAGCTGGATCCTGGCAACCACGAAAGCATGCTTGGCAGCGCCGACCGTGGGCGGCGGCGGAGCTCTGTGCACGTGCTCGAGCCGCGCAACTATCGCGGAGTAATACTCGAACTGTTGCTTGTCACCAAGCTCCTTGAAGGCGGCGGCGAGCTGCTTGAGCCTGGGCAGGTCCTGGTCTCCGAACTGTCGCGGGGGGCCCTTGGAGTAGCCTCCGCCTCCGACCAGCTGCAGGCCAGGGGCGGCGGGGCCTCCTCCACCAGCATCGCCGCCTCCTGGAGCCCCGTGCTGGCAGCTGGGAGCGCCCACGTGGCCCTTGCCGCCCTTGCCGCCGAGGCCCAGGAGCTGCGGCCCTGGCCGCAAGGCGGCCGCCATGTCGTAGCCTGCGCACTGCCCCTGGGGCCC